GAATGATGAGGGCAACAAATGTATAGATGTGCTTTACACAATTGATCTATGTATTGTGATGAATTGTATGAGCCCCAATAAATTGATTTTAAAAAAAGGAATGCTTTAGGAGAACTTAATTTAAAATGCCTCTTCTATTTCTCTACATTTACACTCCTTTCTACATTTACACTCCTCTATTTTAGGCCATTATATTTGTCCTCATTATATTTGTCTGATATACATACTACAATAACTTAACTTATTACCCTGTCCCTAGTTTCCTTACTTTATCCTCAACAAAAGCACCATGGCTCCCCTTTCCTTATTCTTCCTGTCTCACTCTTTTTCTGATTTCAACATCATGTATTTGTTTCTTCTTCCGGGTCTCCCCATTTTCCCATTGGCCCTATCATCTGGCAGAGCTTTCTTGGTCACTGAAAGGCACAGAGGGTAAGGAAGATCCCCTGCACACCTTCTCTCCTTCTCTGTTCCTTGGTTCTCTGTAAGCAACTTCTTCCTCCAGGCGGTGCTCATCCCAACAGAGAGCTGGCTGGTCTGTCTCTGCTCTTGGCCAGGGCCCCAAGGCTTGTTCCCACTTGAGAATGCGGTAGTCAAGATAAGCAATTGAGCCTTCAGGGCGCTGTTTGCCTCAAGGTTGTCTATCAGGACTAATTTGAAACTACATTTTCCATTTGGTATCTCCGAAATATAATCCTGAAGATTTCAAACTTCTCTTTTTTCCAGGTTGTTCTGTTGGTCCTGTGGTAGCTTGAACGAGGACTATCATCCTCCTGACTGGGTGTATGGGGTAAGAGCAGTAAGGCCAGAGCCTGAGGCCAACTGCATGTTATTCTACATAGTGCAGTGTGTGCTCAGGACCCCTATCAGAGGAACCCATGGATACACAAGCACTGCCTTGTTGCAGCAAGTCAGACCCTGTGACAGATCCCTTGAAATAGAAATCTAGTCCTTTTGTCAAAATGAGCTTGGGATGATTTCACCAGTTCCTGTTGTTCGGTGCTGTCACGTGGGCTCCGACTCACAGTGATGTTGTGCACAGCAGAAGGAAACGTGATAGGTCCGGTGCCTGCCCCACAACTGCTATGTTTGAGGCCATTCACACAGCCACGGTGTCAGTCCATCTAGTCAAAAGCTTTCCTTCTTTTCCTTTTAACTTCCCTTTTGCTTTATGAAGCATGATGTCCCTTTTCAGGGATTCGTTTCTCTGATAGCATGTCCAAAGTACGTGAGATGAAGTTTGACCATTCTTACTTCGAAGGACCTCTTCCAGTACAATTCTGTGTGTTCTTCTGCTAGCCCACGGCGCTTTCAGTATTCCTCAAAAGCACCATAATCCAAATGCTTCTTTTATTTGGTTAAACGATTTTGATACCTTCTGATAACACTCTGAATTAATATAATAATGTGATTCATTCCTGTGGGTGTAAGATCTGCAATGGTTCTTTATTTTCTCCACCATCATTCAGGCAGGGGCAAAAGTAAGGATAAAGTTTCTCAGTACAAGTGCTATCAAAGGTATAAATGTGGATCATGGTTGTAGCACTGTAGAAGGACAACTGGCCCCCTTCATAGTCCAGGTATAGCCCCACCTTTTCGATGCTGCTTTTCAGCTTCAGACTACAGGAAGGCAAATCCAGGGCCTTTAGACCACTTTGGTTCCTTAGTCTTACAAGCCAGAATCCTTGTTCAGGAGTCAGGGGACAACTGCCCTTCTGAATTATTGATTCTTTGACAACGCCAAATGTCCATTTTGCCTTCTTTGCTACTTCTACTTCCCACTACCACCTTCCAGATGTAAAGCCTTTGGAGCCCAGCACAGCTATGCTTGAGTCAAACCTCTCTGGATCATCAGGCATTGTGGCTGACTCACCATGCCACACACTGGTTCGACTTTTGGAGAGCACTAGATTTGGGTGGGGGGCTTTAGGGTCCAAAGTTAGTGGAGATAAGCCTTGAGAGAGGGTGTACTGCATGTTCCTCCATATCATGTACTGCATAGGACCTTTGTATTGGCCTAGGTTCAGCTTTCTGCTGATGAGTTCGCTGGGTGCCAGAACCCTCATTCCTTGCTCCAAGCTATCTAAGACATTTGTGATGTCTTTGAGAAAGTCGAAGGAGTTCTGTTGTTCCATCCGGGACTGGATGCTCACCGTCTCCTTGTTCAGCATACACTGCTCTTGAAGTTGGTTCAGATTCAGCTCCATCTCCTCACTGAGGCCTCTCCCCTCTTCCTGCAGCTCATTTAAGATATCCTTTTCTCTGCTGCGCAGGAACTGATGCAGCTTTAGAAACCCCAAAGAGATGTGTTGTTGCAGATGAAGCTTGTTTTCCTGGAAACCTCCTGGATGGCTATGATCTTATCAGCCAGGTCCGCGCACACAGCATGGGCCGAGGGCCGGGGAGAGAGCCCTGGAGAAAGCTTCTATTTTTTTTGGCTTTCTTATTCAATGTTCAAATTTCACATACATATTAGGTGATTGAAAATACCCTGGCTTGAGTTAGGCAAACTTTAGTCTTCAAAGTGACATCCTTGTTCTTCAACACGTTAAAGTGGTCTTGTGCAGCAGATTCACCCAGTACAATGTATGTTTTATTTCTTTGACTGTTGTTTCTACATGCATTGATTGTGGATCTTAGCCAGATGAAATCCTTGACTATATCAGTCTTTCCTATATTTATCATGATGTTACCTATTAGTCAAGTTATGAGGATTTAGATTTGTTTTACATTGAGTTGTAATACATATTTAAGGCTGAAATCCCTGATCTTTAGCAATAAGTCCTTCAAGTCTTTGTCACCTCTTAAGGTGGATGCCAACTATTTATTTTTGACATAGCTATTCTTTCTATTACTTCCTGCAGTATCAGACTGAAGACTTTGGTAGAATTCTTCAGTTTCTGCATCCCTAGCTTTAGTGGTTGGTGCATAAATTTGGATGATAATTGCATTGACTGACTTTCCTTGTAGGCAGATAGATATTATGCGATCACATATAGAATTGTACTTCAAGATAGATTTTTAAATATTCTTTTTGACCATGAATGCAGCTCCATTCCTACTTAATTTGTCATTGCTGGTATAATAGTCATATGATTGTCTGATTCAAAATAGTCAACACCAATCTATTTTAGCTCATTGGTGCTTTACACAGTCCCTCTCATTTTTCACAGTTTCCAATTTTCTTAGATTCTTATTTTGTATATTCTAGTTCAATGATTAACAACTACTTTCAGTGGCTTCTTCTCATTTTGAGACATCTACACCAGAAAATGAAGGTCCCGAAGGCTTGACTCCATTCACACCACTATGGTCTGCTCGGCTTTGAGAAGGCAGCTCTTCTGCAGTCTTCTTTTGGGTGCCTTAAGGGCTCATCTTCCATCACTATATATGACAATGCTCTGCTTTCATTCATTAAGTTTTCAGTCACTCATAATGTTCCAATGTTATCTATAGGATTTCTGTGGCTAATTCTTAAGAAGTGGGCAACCTATTCCTTCTTCATAGCCTGTTGTTAGTCTGGAAACTCTGCTTATAGTGTTCACTTTGATATTTGAAATACCAGTGACATAACTTCCAGCATCACAACACAGAAACCACCACAGTACGACAAACTGATAGTCAATTGGTGGAAATTAAGGTTAGAAGGGCCATATTAAGTAATTTACTATATCTCAGGTATCATACACATACAAAATCTGCTGCAGAAAAAATTTAAAAACACTTGTAGTAAAATTAACTTCTAAAACTCCAAGTTAGATTTAGAAGAGCATGTGGAACAAGATATAGCATTGTGTGTCAGATGGATCATGGATGAAAGCAAAGAATACCTGAAACATGTTTACCTATGTTGCATTGACACTGCAAAGATACTCAGCTGTGTGGATCATAATAAATGATGAATAACATTGAAAAGTGAGTTTGGTTTTGGGTTTTGGTAAGGACAAAGGAATGCGTGACCCAAACCATGGTATTTCAATCACCTTGTATATATATATATGTGAAAGCTGAACAGTGAATAAGAAATATTGGAGAACAATTGGATTAGGATGCTGGCAAACAATACTGAATATATTATGGATGGAGAGAAGAATGAGTAAATCTGTCTTGGAAGAAATACAGTCAAAGTGTTTCTTAGAAGGGCAGATGGGATACTTTGTATCTCATAATTTGGATATGTTATCAGGAGATTCCATTGCCTGGGGAAGGATGAATCTGGTAAGGTAGAGGGTCAAATTGAGGATGAACTTCAATGAGCCTGGGAGTGTTTGGAGCCATGGGTTCAAACACAGGAACAACAGTGAGAATAGCATACTGCTGATCAGTATTTTATTTTATTGCACATAGGTTTGATATGAGTTGGAATCCATGGAACAGCACCTGTTAACAACATTAAATGTTTGTTAATAAATGTCTAAATATTTGGGCATTTTTTATTGATTTGTAATTTCAATATTATCATAAGAAACACTTTAAAGGATTCAAAATACTCTGAATTGTTTTAAGTATATTGAGGCTTCTTTTATGTCCTGAACATAGTCTATCATGGTAAATGTTTCATGTGCGTTTAAAAGACTGTTTTCTTCTACTGTTAGGAACGTATTCTATAAAAGCCAATTAGATTGAGTCATTCAGTATTGTTTTAATATTCTACATCTTCAAAATTTTGGTTTACATATGCTATCAAATATTGAGGTAAAAACCACTGACTATATTTTTTCTATTCTTTCATTTATTTCAAATTTTGCTTTTTGTATGTTGAAGCTTTGTAATTAGCTGATATATTTAGGATTGTTATCCCTTGTTGATGAATTGACCTTTTTAATCATTACAAAATGACCTTGATCATTGGCATTATTCTTTACTTTGAAATTTATGTTGATTTTAATTTGACCACTCTCGCTTTCTTTTGATTATTGTTTGAATAATATCTTTTCAACTCTTTCACTTTAAAATTTTATTTTTGTCATGTGTTTCTTAAAAGTTGTATGAGGATATGCAAAACAGTATTGCTGCTAGGGTTCCCCTGCATACAGGAGCTGTTTATCCTAAAGAAACCATATTCAGCATGTCTGTGACCCATGGATGGTGGACATTCTCTCAGCAACACACTTGTCTTAGTGTTGTTTGGGTGCCTTCTAGAACAATTGTCCAGTAAGAACTGTGGCACACAAGGCATCAGCTTGGTCACTAAGCTCCAGGCAGACATGTCTTAGGTATAGAAACTGTTTTATGGGGTCCCTAAAGGGTAATGGGTATAGATTTTCTTGAAGAATGGAGGATGATCATTGGAGTTCCTCATGATGAAGTTTTAAGAAAATTGAAAACTGTATCAATGAAAAAAGGACCAGGACAGCTGTATTCAGGAATTGCTAAGGAATATTTTTACATCATGACAATATGCCTGATTGATAGTAGCAAAGGTTGTCCTATAAGAATTTTGTTCATAAACATTACCCCATCTTCCTTATACCTCTGATACTGCCCCTTTGGCCTTTTTATTCCTCAAACTCAAAGAATTTCAAAGGAACAGTTTGAATCCCTTGAGGATGTTCAAATTGTGTTTTGACGTGGTGTATATCAAAGAGTGCATAATTATTCAGGGAAGGGTTAGAGATATTGAAAGACTGCCTTCAAAAATGTATAGACTTAGATGAAGTATATGTCAAGAAACAATAGCTTCATATTTTATTTTAATAAAAGTTTTTTTTATTTTTGAGCAACTTTTTATTGCCCTTATATTTTGATCTTGATTTAAAAAAAAATCTCATCTGACAATCCTTGCTTTTTATTTGCAATGTTGATATCATTTAATTTAAACTATTTATTAATAGGGTTAAGTTTAAATAAATTAGTTTGCTATTTTTTCTGTGTTCCCGTAGGTTTCTTGATCCTATTTGTCATTTATTTTCTACTTCATTTTGGACTGATTATTTTTAATAATCCTATCTTACCTCATTAGTTTTCTTAATCTTAATTACTTGGTGTATTATTTTAGAGGTTTTAAATATGTATCTCTGATTTAGGACTTGGAATATGTATCTGTATCAGTTTAAATTCAAGCAATATCATATCATTACCCATAATGCATGTTATAATTCTATTTCTACCCTCCTAACCTCCTTCTTATTGTCAAGCATGTTATTTTACATATGCTAGGCCTATGTAATGCTACATTGTCATTCATTTTGAATAGTTGATTATTTCCCTTTTTGTTTGTAAAAAATATTGACTGTAGTATTACAGAGTTTTTTTCCGCTCTAAAATACATTCAACTATGGTAATTTAAAAGGAAGGTAAGAGATATTAAGTCATAGTCAGAATACATTTTATATTTAGAAAAAAATATAATTTACTTTTTCTTAAACTTCCACTTAAAGAAAAAATTTCTGTTGATAATTTATTCATTGTTTAAAAATGTAGTCAACTACTTATCCCAAGTTACTTATATATGTAATGGTCCATCTACTCAAGACTAAACCCAGTACATCTCCTGACTACAATGTTCTCTTAAGTTGTGAATAGAATATTCTGTATCTAGGCAGGTGTGCTATATCCCCCAAACCAAATCCATTTCAATTGAGTGAGTTCTTGGAGTAGAACTGTGCTAAATAGTTTCCAAGGCTCTGCAACTTTTAGAAGCAGACTGCCTCATCTCTCTTACCTGAAACAGCTGGAAGATCTGAAATACCAATCTTTTGTTTTTAGCAACCAAGTGTTTAACCACTATTCCATCAGGGTATTTGTATGATATATGCTATACAAATGAAGCAAAAAAAAAAATAGCATTACAAATATGTGGTGAAAATAAGGAAAATGTATCCTTTGTTTAAGACCTGCAGAGCATTTCCTACAGAAAATTTAGTGATTGGTGAAACTATATAGAGTCTGAAGTATTTGGTAGATGTTTGTCAGGAAACTAAATTCCTACAGAATTCTCATTCTAAGTATTTAGAAAATTTTAAGGTAAATATTTAGTGAATTTATTGTGATCTGCTTAGCATGTAGAAAAGAGGACTGGTGAGTTACTCATTTTTCAGTAAGTTAGAAATAGCCTCGTCAGTGTGTGTGTGTGTAGCACAAAGGACAAACAAATTGTGCTGGAATATCTTTTTTAAAAGATTCTATGGACACAATATGAGGGCTCATCGCAAAGCATATTATAGCCAGGCGAGGGGTGTATGTAAGCCACCAAGGGGTTAATCAAAGTTTAACCTCATATACTTAAAAAACACACCATATGTTTCTATAGTGCCTTCTTCTATGTTGTCTTTATTGTAAGTCACAGATCTGCTTGGGGGCTTCTCATGGTCATCACGCAGCCACTGGTAGATAAGCCAAATCATAGTCTATGCAACCCGTCTTAGACTTGACAAAGTTCTTTTCTGGTCTTTTTTAAACTGCGATTCTCAACAATGCCAGACTTCTTAGATCATTACATGAAAAGACAGAATTTCTTATGCCAAAAAATGTGTAATCTTGGCTATCCAGGGGTTTCGGTATTATGGGATACCTGAGATGTATCTTGCCCCAATTAACAAGATCATGCTACTCACTATAAAAATGCCCAAGGGAAGACTAGAGAAAATTCTACCAGACTGACCATTTTCAGAAGACTCTGCTGTAACCCAACCCATTGACTTCATCACAGCTCTCTTCCACGTCGCATAACGGATTTCGCATTCTGTGGCTTTGATCTGTGGCTCAAACTCTTCCCTCATCAAGGATTTCAAATTGTCAGGTTCTAGACTCCAAACACTCACTCCTTCTGCAGCCCCTGCTGCCATGGCGGCTCCCAGTGCAATTGTTTCGGTAATACAAGGCTTTACGACTGGGATGTGCAGAATATCTGCTTGCAATTGCATTAAAATCTTGTTCTTTGTCATTTCTCCGTCTACCTTCAAATGATCAAATGGAATTCCACAGTCACGGTTCATAGCATCCGTAATCTCTCGGGTTTGAAAACAAATAGCTTCTAATGCAGCAAAAGCAATATGACATTTATTGGTGAACTGCGTGAGACCACAGATAATCCCTCTGGCACTGGGCTCCCAATACGGTGCATATAATCCTGAAAATGCTGGGATGAAGTAACAGCCGTAAGAAGTACCTACTTCTTTGGCAAGTACTTCTATTTCTTCTGGGCTACTTAGGATCCCAAGATTGTCTTTTAGCCAACGAACAACAGCACCGGCTATAGCCACAGACCCTTCCAGTGCGTAAATAACTGGCTTGTCTTTGCCAAGTTTGTAAGCTACCGTGGTCAGAAGACCATGCTCAGAAAACACACACTTTCGACCCGTATTACATAGTAAGAAACAGCCTGTTCCATATGTGTTTTTGGCCTGTCCTTCTTCAAAGCACATTTGTCCTATTAATGCGGCAGATTGGTCCCCTAAGCATCCAGATATCGGCACACCTACCAACGACCCAGTTTTCATTTCGCCATATATCTCTGAACAACTCCAAACTTTGGGGAGAATGTCCATCGGAATTTCAAAAAAGTCACAAAGTTCTTTATCCCACTCCAAAGAATGAATGTTGAAAAGCATCGTCCTACTTGCATTTGTTACGTCTGTGCAATGGACACCCCCGTTGACTCCGCCTGTCAAACTCCAGATGAGCCACGAATCGATGGTGCCGAAAAGAGCTCTCCCTTCTTCAACCGCCTTTTGAACTTGTCTCACGTTGTCAAGCATCCAGCGAAGTTTCACGGCACTGAAGTAAGTGCTCAGTGGCAGGCCAGTCTTCGACTTGACAAAGTTGTTATTCCCAGGTATCTTTTTACCGAGATTCTCGACGGTGCTCTGACTTCGAAGATCCAGCCACACCACAGCATTGTAGAGAGGCTCTCCGGTTAACTTGTCCCAGACGATCGCGGTCTCCCTCTGGTTGCTGATTCCGATAGCTTTTATGTTGGATAGAGCTATGTTTAGTTCATCGAGTTTCTCGCATGTTTTTTCTATGCATTCATAGACAGACTGGAGGATTTCCTTAGGGTCTTGTTCCACCCATCCTTCTTTTGGGAACTCTTGCGTTAGTTCCACTCGATAATGAGTAAGTATTCCTGCTGTTTTCGCATTGAAAACAAGAAAGCGACTGTGACTAGTGCTTTGGACCACCGCCCCCACCAATGGCCCCTCCACCGCTTCCTTCGGGGCTGCCATGAAACCGATGGACTCCGCACGGTTTGGATGGTTGCCTAGGTGACAGCAGCGTGGGGCGGGGCGAAGGAAGAGGCCGCAGCTCTCCAGGTGCGGGCCCAGCAGCCTCGATCCCCATCCGTTAACTGCTCGGCTCCTATCTTTACGTATCTGCCACAGGTCTGGTCCCAACTGCCCAATTATTTAAGAAACCGTTAAAAATAAAACGGAAATCATGGACTACCCTTGTAGTTATTGTTATTGGTGCTTTTCATTCTTTTATGAGGATCCATATTTCCATCTAATATAATTGGTACATTGTTCCTTCTGCTAGTAAGATTTTCTTTAATGCTTCTCGTAATGGCCTGCAGGAGAATTCTTCCAGCTTTTGAATGTCTGAAAGAAATTTCATCTTAATATTTCAAAACATTCACTGTGGATGTTCTACTTGAGAGTAATTTAGCATTGACTAAAAAAATGAAACTGATTTTTCTTAAAGTCCAGAACTTTACAGCTGCTGCTTCCTGGGCTTCTCCCATTGTGTCACATGTGAACTGATGCCATTTCCCTCTGGTGGCTTGGCTCGCCTTGTTGCTAACCATGTTTGGTTTCATTTGGGGTTTTCTTATTTCCTGTGCTTGAGGTTCGTTTAGCTACTTGGATCTGTGGATTTATGGATTTCATCAATTTTGGAAAACGTGGGTCATTCTTTCCTCAAATAGTATTTTATTTCCTTTTCTTTCTCTCTTTTTTTTTTTTCCTATTCAAGTCATCTCCCCCAACCCAAATCAAAAACCAAACTTATGATCCAATTGATTCTTACTCATAATGATCCTACATACACACACACACACACACACACACACACACACACGACACAATAGGAGTACCCCATGGGGTTTCTAAGGCTATAAATCTTTGTGGAAGCAGCCTGCACCCTCCCTCTCCTGTGGAGTCACTGGTTCAAATCACTGGAATTTTGTAACCAGTGCTTAACCAGTGCACCATTTACGATTCTGTGCGTCTCCCTCAATAGCTTCAAGTACATGTACGTTGCCTCTTAAAGTTGTTTCTCAGCTTATTGTTCTGTTCATTATTGTTTTTTTGTTTTTACTTTCCCCAAAACCATTTTATTGGGAGCTAATACAGTTATCTCATTCCACAGTTCAATCACATCAAGCAGTATCGTACAATTGCTACCACAGTCAGTTTCAAAATATTCTCTTCCTTCTTGAACTCCTTGAGATCAGTTCCCTCTTACCCTCCCCCACCCACACTGTACCCCCCAAGAACCCCTATTCTACTTTCTGTCTCAATAGGTTCATCAATCCATATTTTTAATTCTTTGTGTGCTTAGTTTTGGCTGGCTTCTATTGCTATGTCTTCAAATTCACTAATCTTTTTCTTTTATCTCCTGTGTCTTATGTGATTAAATTATTATATCACACATTGAAGTTTTTCATTCCTAGAAGTCCAATTTAAATCTTTTAAATATGTACTAAGTTTTTTTAATACATGCGGTGCAGTTAGAATCAACGCTCTAATTTTATGTTTTGCTGATGGTAGCATTTGTGTCAGTTGTAGCAGAGGGTACTGATAAGTTTTACAGTTCCACTGGGTATGGACGAGGTACCATCTCAGAAGAAAGAGAGAGAGAGAGAGAAAGAGAGAGAGAGAGAGGAGTCTCATGACCATCATGAAAGACGAGCCATGGCACTGAGTGCAGAAGGCAGCAGTGGCACCAGAGTCTGAAACACTGAGATCTTGAGACAGAGCAGAGTTGGCATGCTGAGACCATGAGGCAGTGTGGCAGGTTTGCCAGCCCTAGGAACAAGACAGAGGCAAAGGGAAAATTTGGCTGAGAGATCAAGGACCAGAGAGAGACATCTCTGCCAGCATGACTGAGAAGAGATGTGGACAAAAATTTGATTAATATGGTTTGAGATGTTGCTATATGCAAACATATAGGCAATAATATAGTCTTACATAAGGACGGTGATTTCCTAAATCTTCATCTGAGATTCAGGGTTTTTTTGAGGATTATTGATCATGGACGTGTATAAAGAGGTTGGATTGGAATTATCTTTTGTGTTGACAAAGAAATGGACAACACCATCACCAGGCAAGGAGGCAAAGTTATCAATGTAGCAAGGAATCATCTCATCCCATGTGGTCTCGTCGTCACCAGATCAAACTCCCTGTTTGCAGGCAATATCCTTAGAGTCTTCTCAATGAAGACGGTGTGCCATGGACAGCTGTTGAGAAGCATACATGTCGGTCACTTTTATATGTCCTATCTATCTCATACCATACTGTAGATGGTCCTTGCTTGTTGCCCAGATTTTGCATTATTATTATGATGATGATTCACTTACTATAATTTTATCTTGTTTTGAAAAAAGTTATTAGATTTATTGAATCTCTAGTCATGCCTGAGCTAACCTTAGAAAGACAGACCAAAAGATTTTGTGGGCCTGCTAGTCTTCGGGCCAGAACTTCCCTACCTCTGCTCTGGGCGATGGACTGACACAGTGGCTGCAACAATGGGTTCAAACAGAACAAGGAGTGTGAGGATGGCAGGAGACGTGGCAGTGTTTCATTTTGCTGTACGCAGAGTCACTCTGAGTTGTAATAGAGTCAAAAGCACCTCGCAGCCACCATAGCAGCACACATGAACTACAACCCCACTAGCAGTAGCTTTTGACTTATCCCTGTATAATATGACATTTAATTTCAGGGAAATCACCACCAAAATCAAGTACATTGAATCTTAAAAATTCAAAAAATATTTATAGTCTTACATAAGACATGCTTCCTTGCCTTATTGATATCCTTAAGTTAAGAAATTGCTGGAAGCTACCCATTGAGTCAACTCAGACTCATGGTGACTTTATATACAACAGAATGAAACCTTGCTATCCCTGCATCATCCTCTCAATTGTCAGGAAGTTCAAGCCCATTGTTTAGTTATTGTGTCCATTCAACTCAAAGAAGTTCTCCCATAACCAAACATAATGTTCTCTTCTAGTAATTGACCACTCCTAAAAATATGCTCAAAGCAAGCAAACTAGACAATGTTCAGTTGTGAGCCATAAATGTGTTCACTGACTAACGTTCAGAAGTAGACCTTTCTTTCCAGTTGGTCTTGGTCTGGATGCTTTCCTCAAATCTACCAACCCTAGGTGATCTGGTGGTATATGAAATACTGGCAGCAAGGCTTCCAGCATCAAAGTAACATGAAAGGCATACTAGTTACAGTACACTGACAGATGGGTGGTAGATGTTAAGAATAGCCCAGTTACATTTTCTAGTTTCTGATATACCTTCCAGCTCATCTCTCTCTATAGAGAACTACTCATTAACTTGTTATTTCCCCCACCTGCCAACTCCACCAAACTATAAGTTATCTGAGGATAGATGATACCTTGGCCATTTGATAAAATCTTATGTCTCCATCATGTAGAACAGTAGAAATAAAAAAATATTTATCAAGTAAATCAATAAACACCTCTGTTTATGGTCTTCATTTATTAGGTGATTCTCATAAAGTCAAGACATTTAAAATTTTATCTTTAGATTGGCTACTGATTATTCATTTTCAATTTTAATTTTATAAGCTGTATGAGTAGATAGATAGGATGAATAGTTAAAAAGATATGTGAGAAAATTAGTATAATAAAATATTTACTATAGATTCTATGTGATAGATAGAATGTTGTTAGAGTTTTAATCCTTTCCCTTTCCTGTACATTTGCAAAGGTTTAAAATAAAATGTTGGGAAATGTGATAGGAATAATTAGTAAAATGCAAAACAGCTCAGAGAGCTCTATTTCATACAGATTCCTTTGGAAGGGTAGTTAGAAGAATTTTTTTTAAGAAGTCACTGACTAGTTTACATCAACTGAAAGATTTGGTGGTAAAATGATCTAGTTATAGTTGTTCTTCTTACGAGAACCATTAATTGTGAAGCATTTTCACTAGGATACTCGCATTTTCTGTTGTAGGCATTTCCTTCTACCTTTGACAAGCTATGTAAACCTTAGGAATCCAGGTGCACGTTTCACTCCTTGGCTTTTAACAAGGAATTTTAAGCAGCAAGAGTGTTTCTCGTCCTCAGTCTCTCCAGGGCCAGAATCCTTAACTGCTAGCACAGTTGGGCTCGTCTTAGTATTGAGTTGAAGTGCATGGCTTGATAGGAAGGGTGCTCAGCTAAATAACCTGTGATTAGGAAAGTGGACTGTTTTAGCCTGTGTCATAAGCAATGCATCATCACAGTTGGTATTCTTCCAAACACTGACGCATTTTTCTACATGCTGTTCCCAAATGTGCTGGACCAGCTGTTGAGAGCCATGCCATCCAATTGCCGGGAAGACCTCTTTGTGGACCACAAATCCCCTAACACACTATCCCTCTTTGTTCTAGTGAAGAATAGAAAAGTTAAAGCAAGTGATCATGGTTTATTCCTCCTCTTTCCAATGTTTGGTGTGGGCTGTGTTAGTCACTGCCTCCTTACTTAGGGGACCTTGACATCATTGGTAAGCACTCATGACCAGCAATCCAGTGAACGAAAAATCTACAGATAGTAATTTTAGGAATATTTGAATCTTGAAATTTTTTATTGTGTGTGTTCTTTGTCATTTTCCCACTGAAAATTGCCCTGACACTGATCTCAATGTTAATGTATTCATGCTTACATTTGACTTTGGAATATGTTACGGCTAATTATCATTACACAGGATGAAAGATCAGAGTCCTGAGTGAGGTGCTTGGGTTTAGGAACAAAGGGAAGCCAATTCAGCATCTTGGCTCTAGGCCCGACAATTGTAAGAGAACATCTCAAAATAAGTGGGATCTTTCCAATTATTTATTTCTTATTTTCCTTCCTCACTTTTTGAATGGGAATGGGGGAAGGGGGTTAAGGGTTTGAAGGGGCTGAAATTTCCCCTTGAACATGATGTCAATATGTTGGCATGTCTCCTTTTATTAAGATGCCATCCAACTGATAACAAGTCCTGCTGTGTTTT